ATATATATATTTTGTTTATTTTAATTTTTTTTTAATTCATTTTATTTATTTATTTTTTGAGTTTTGACTCTGCTGGTTTATGCTGAAAAAAGTTTAATTGATGAAGCTCCAAACACCAGGACATCCCTCTGACTAGCTTTCTAATCTTCATTTCTTTACTTCCTCTTCCTCCTGTCTCGTTCTTACTGACAGTAATGTTTGTAGTTCAGTTTGGCTCCCAGCTTCGTTCCTGCCAGGTGTTTGCTGAAAGCTTCATCCATCTCTTTGCTCTGTTCAGGAGTAAAATGGTTCTTCCAGTCTCCAACTTCACCTGCACATAAAAATAAATAAAAAATCACAGGTAAACATAATTAAAATAAACAACAACAGTAGCAGTAATAATAATAATAATAATAATGTTCATTCATTTAACCTTTATTTATACAGGTTAGCTTGTGGAGAAAACTCATTTCGGCCGCTTGTATCCGAGATCTCGTTCTTTCGGTCACAACCCAAAGCTCGTGACCATAGATGAGGGTAGGAACATAGATCGATCGGTAAATTGAGAGCTTCGCCTTTTGACTCAGCTCTCTCTTCACCACGACAGACCTGTACAGCACCTGCTTCACTGCAGACACTGCACCTATCCGCCTATCGATCTCACGCTCCATTTTTCCCTCATTCGTGAACAAGACCCCAAGATACTTGAACTCCTCCACTTCGGGTAGGACCTTCTCCCTGACCCGGAGAGGGCACTCTACCCTTTTCTGGCTCAAGACCATGGCCTCGGATTTGGAGGAACTGATCTTCATCCCGGCCGCGTCGCATTCAGCTGCGAACCGCTCCAGCGAAAGCTGTAGATCACGATCTGATGAAGCCAATAAGACCACATCATCTGCAAAAAGCAGAGATGCAATCCTAAGGCCACCAAAATGGATCTCCTCAACACCTTGGCTGCACCTAGAAATTCTGTCCATAAAAGTTATGAACAGAATCGGTGACAAAGGGCAACCTTGGCAGAGTCCAACTCTCACCGGGAACAAGCCCGAATTACTGCCGGCAATACGGACCAAGCTCTGACACCAGTCATACAGGGATCTAACAGCCCGTATCAAAGAGCCCGGTACCCCATACTCCCAGAGTACCCCCCACAGGGTCCCCCGAGGGACGCGGTCGAACGCCTTCTCCAAGTCCACAAAGCACATGTAGACTGGTTGGGCAAACTCCCACGCACCCTCCAGGACCCTGCTGAGAGTGTAGAGCTGGTCCAGTGTTCCACGGCCTGGACGAAAACCGCACTGCTCCTCTTGAATCCGAGGTTCGACTATCCGACGGACCCTCCTCTCCAGAGGATGAGGGTGAGAAGCTCGATCATCCGGGAGGGACTCAGAGTAGAGCCGCTGCTTCTCCACGTTGAGAGGAGCCAGTTGAGGTGGCTTGGGCATCTGTTTAGGATGCCTTCTGGACGCCTCCCTGGTGAGGTGTTCCGGACACGTCCCACCGGAAGGAGGCCCAGAGGAAGACCCAGGACACGCTGGAGGGACTATGTTTCTCGGCTGGCCTGGGAACGCCTCGGGATTCCCCCGGAAGAGCTGGCCCAAGTGGCTGGGGAGTGGGAAGTCTGGGCCTCCCTACTTAGGCTGCTACCCCTGCAACCCGACCCCAGATAATCGGAAGAAAATGGATGGATGGATGGATGGATTATACAGGTTAATCCCATTGAGCCTCATGTACAAGAGAGACCCAATTTTAACAAAGAATGATGACAGCAGTGGACAACAAAGACAACAATAGACTATCATAAGGATGCATACAAATTGAGATTTTTTTTTTAACAAGAGAAAGTAAAATGGTATTTAAAAGAAAATGTAACAAAAAAAAAACAGCTAGGTTGTAAGGCGATGTAGAAAACTAAAAACAGGAACATGTCTGCATTGGTTCTTGCCAGGAACTAAGATAAAGCCACTTAGAGAGGTCAAGGTCGAGAGATTCAGATCATAATTATAACAAGAAGAACTGGGACCAGAAAGTTGTGGTTCAACTCCCCGCCATGCCCACATGTCATGGTGTCCTTGAGCAAGACACCTAATCCCTAACTGCTCCCCGGGCGCTTACATAGCTGCCCACTGCTCCACCTGGATGCATCCCAGGTCTGATGGGCTAAATGAAGAGAACTAATTTCTTGTTGTACGTTTCCATACAATGATGACAACGCGTACCACTTTATTATTATTATTATTATTATTATTATTATTTCTGCTGATGAAATCAACATCGCCACCTACACATCTAAATTTAATTTCATCCAAGCATAACATCTTAAACTCTCATAATAAAAGTCTTTGATTAAGATAAAACGAACACACTCCTCTTTCAGATAAAACAATATCACTAAGAAAATTATTTGATTTCTTTCTGTGGCAGCACTGACAATTTTACTGAAATTCTGTTTTAAATTTTACAGAAACATAAATGTAGGAGTCACCTTTCCTGAAGAATACGTTTCCCATGTTGCTGTGGGATTTATCTGAGCTCGCTTTCATGGCACTGAAGGAGCTCGCTTCTGTGATCTGCTGGATCTGAGCGTCCGTCAGGCTGAAGCCGAAGAAGGTGGAGATCTGACGAACACCAGCGCTCAGGTCCTGCAGGGCATCAAATTCAAGCAGGACTCAAAACTTAAAGTTCTGTATCAGAAGTTAATTTCACTCTTCTGCAGGTGGGCTTTAGAAAGAAATGTAACTGATCAATAATTAGTAAAAATAATAAAATTAAATAAAAACACTCAGCAGGAATGTTTGGAAATAGACGCCATGCAAAGAGAAATTCTCAGGTGATTTTGGCATTTGAGTTCAATCATTCGTGAGATTCAGCAGAAGAATCTGAGTGACCCACCTGTTTCAGTTCTTCATAGGTAACAACCATGACATGTGGGTCGTCCATTCTCTTTTCCCAGGCGAGGGCATGATCAAAGTATGAACCCCAGGCAACTGAAAAATAAAAAAATCCACAATAAAAATTAAAAATAAAAACCACTGCTGACAACAACAACAAAACATTTATTAAAATGGAGTAAGTTGATCATTTCTGAGTCATTTCTTGTTATATGTGGACTGTACAATTAAAGGCCCACAAGCCACTGTGGAGCTCCAAAATGATTATTCACTTTCATCTGAGGAGAATAAAAATGAACTGACACTTACATGCTTTAAAAAGTGTCAGGTGTTTGAAAAAAACAAGTTACAATAGGTGGTGGATGGCGTTTTGCAGCATGATCAAGTCAAAATTGTTTCAAAACAATGTTAATCACTGAGGTCAAATAAAAACATTGATTTGTTTGTCCCAGTAAAAATTTGTGGTTGATATTATCAGAATGCACATCAACATGTAAACTGTGGTTGAATCACTGCACATGTACAATTTTAAAAACTGTATATTTAGGACAACTCCAAGGTCATAGTGGATGCTTTTCTTCCAATGATTAAAACTCCAGTTCACTGAAATTTTACAGGTTTGTCCTCAGTTCAGAGTTCAAGTGCAATGTTCAAATAATAATGAATTAGACTCCTGTTCAGCCCCTATACATTGTCCAAAGCACAAGTTAGAATTACTGGATGGATTGCACGTTTAGCGCTGCAAACTGGAGAGTACAGAAGTCACTCAATACATACAAAAATCACTCCAAAACATACAAAATGACATGCAACAGGAGCACTTTTCCATGTTGCCTTCAGAGCAGCACTTTTTTGTGCCATCAGTGCAATTCTGCACCTAAGTAGACGATAAGCATCAAGACCAAAAGTGAACAGGGGATCAAACAAGTATGGCAGGTAATGCTTTATTAGTCTGACTGCACAACAACTTCAGAATGGATACGCATGTGCCAACATGTAGGATCCATATTTTGTAAACACAGCATGCAGTGTGTGATGTTATTTTCACTTGAGTCTAATGGAGGTCGCATTTAAATTATGTGTGTAACTCCACAAAAAAATTAAAAATTAAAAATTCTGAGCAATAAATAATAAATGAGCATTCAAACCTACAGTGTGAACGATGCCTTACTCACCATTTCCACTCATAAAATCATTAAAGAATGAATCCCACTTCATCGCTGGCAGGACGGGGTTATTATTACTGAAATGATAATATGAAACCAAAGTGTCTTTTGGGTTCCTGAAGACCACCAGTGTCTGTGCAGAAAGAAAGCAAAAAGTAAACACTACTTATCAAAATAACACAAAAAACATCCATCCATTATCTTTTACCCGCTTCTTCCATTTTGGGTCACGGGGGTTGCCGGTGCCCATGTCTGGCTGTCACTGTGCAAGGGGCGGGGTACACCCTGGATGGGTCGCAAGTCCATCACAGGGCCACATAGAGACAAACGAGACAAACAACCATTCACTCTCTCACTCACACCTAGGGACAATTTAGAGTTACCAATCAGACTAACATGCATGTTTTTGGTCTGTGGGAGGAAACTGGAGCACCCGGAGAAAACCCATGCATGCACAGAGAGAACATGCAAACTCCAACCAGAAAGGCCCCCGGACTGGGATTTGAACCAGGGACCTGCTCACTGAGAGGCAGCAGCTCTACCAGTTGCGCCACCATGCTGCCCCTACACAAAAAAACATTTTGCAGCTAAATCCAACAAAATGAAAAAAGTTTTCTCAGTAAACAAAGACTTTGTGGGGGTAAAAACAGAAATAAACAGAATAAAGAGAGCAAACAAGAAAATAAACATTATTGAAACAAAATTCAGAATTTTAGTTATATTTTTTTTAAAAGTATCTACCTTTGGGTTCTTTTCTTTGAAAGTGGCAGGTATGTAGTCGGGATGAATGTGAGTCCCCATAAGCCTTGGAGAGGGGGCCTCTTCCACCATCTGAGAAGATATAGGCCAACAAAATTATCTTTAGGAAATTGCAATATAAATATAGAAATTACCACTTATCAGGTTCTTATTCTGTCAACTTGAATCAATTCTGTGCGCTTTTCTCATCCGATTATACTGCCATCTTTTGCAGCTTCTTGATCACCATAATGTCTAGTTGGTTAACTATTAGTTATTAAATGGACTCATGTTAAAATGAACCTCCCATTGGTATCTGTAAGTCCCACAGGATTTTAGCCATGTCCTCTTCACATTTTAGGAAGTCTCTTCAATTTCAGATGGACTGTGTTAACTGTTAGCATCCTACGTAAATCTTTGCACTTAGTCCACTCAACTTAAATTATATATGAACATATCTACTTCATTTTATATTTTGCTTTGTGTGTTACATGTTGTTTTGTCTGTACAGCACTTTGGTTGGCTTTGTAGCTGTTTTAAGTGCTTTATAGATAAAGTGGTATGGTATGGTATATATATATATATATATATATATATATATATATATATATATATATACATACTCCTCCTTGAATCGCCACCTTATTGTGGTGGTGGAGTTTGTGTGCCTGAATGATCCTAGGAATTATGCTGTCGGGGGCAATTTTAATTGCCCCTGGTAGGGTCTCCCAAGGCTGATTGGTTCTAGGTCACAGGCCAGACATAGAGCAATTCCAAAGACTCTCATGGACATAAAACAACAAGGAGCTCAGTGTTTCTTGCCTGGTCGTGAGTCACTGGGGCCCCACCCTGGTGTCAGGCCTTGGGGAGGGGCTCGTTGGTGAGTGCCTGGTGACGGGGTCTCTACCCCTGGGGCTCAGTCACCAGGCTCAGCTCAAATGAGCAACATGTGTTTGACTTCCTGTGGGCTCACCACCTGCAGGAGGGGCCATACAAGTCAGGTGCATGATAGCGGAGGTCTTGGCGCTCTGACCCTGGCTTACAACAGTCTTACTCTTGGGACATGGAATGTGATGTCTCTGGCAGGGAAGGAACCCTGAACTTGTGCATGAGGTTGGGAGGTACCGACTAGATATATTTGGGCTCATTTCGACACACATCATGGGCTCTGGAACCAATCTCCTTGAGGGGCTGGACCTTATTCCAATCTGGCGTTGCCCATGGTGATAGGTGTCGAGCTAGTGTGGGTCTACTCTAAGCTCCCTAACTTGGTGCCTGTGTGTTGGAGTTTTCCCCAGTAGATGAGAAGGTAGCTTCCCTGCATCACTGGGTGGGGGGACAGGCTCTGACTGTTGTTTGTACCTATGCACCAAATGGCAGTTCAGAGTATCCAGCCTTCTTGGAGTCCTTGGTGGTGGTGCTGGAAGGTTCACCAGCTGGGAACTCCTTTATTCAGCTGAACTCATTTATTCTGCTGGGGGGACTTCATAGCCCATGTGGGGAATGACAGTGTGACCTGAAGGGGCATGACTGGGAGGAACCCCAATCTGATCTGGACCCAAGAGGAATTCTTTTTGTTGGATTTCTGTGCTAGTCATATTTTGTCAATCATGAACACCATGTTCAAACATGAGGGTGCATTCTGCTTCTTCTTTGATTATTGTATTTTTTTATACAATTAGAAAATGCTACTTGATGCCTTGAATTCCACCCCCGATTAATAAAGTATCTATCTATCTATCTATCTATCTATCTATCTATCTATCTATCTAT